CCTTAAGATATACATAAATACAAAAAAAAAATTACAGCCCTACTTTGCTGATTTTCACCTATAGTGGGGGTGTCTAAAACATAACCCCCGCCATAAGTGTGGCACTACTGTAGGCTATATATACTATTTTGGTCAATGTAGAAGTACAGTAGTCCCTCGTTTATCGTGGTTGTTTGGGACCACGCCCACCCACAATGAGTGAAAAACTGCAAAGTAGGGATACAGTAGTCCAAGTTCAATAAACTTTGTCATGATGTGCCAGGCTGCAATCACACTCCTCACCTGTTACTCCCAATCTCCCTTCTTAAATAAACTATTTAAATGTAAATACTGTAACATTTTAAATCAACAATCCATACAGCATGGATTGTTTATTTAAAATATTACAGTATTTAAATTGTAGAGAAGAGAAGAAAAGAGAAGTGAAGTGCAGCAGGAAATGTACTTTGTGATCAATTACACTTCAACAACTGAACATAGAAGTTCTAAAATAATTAAAAACAACTTTTAACACTTTTATATTTAGTGATGATGATTTTTTTGATGTGACATACTTTGAATTTTAAGTTGGAAGACAAAAGTCGATCGGTACATCTGGACTTAACCCTTCACAAGCTGCTGCAAGAGAAATGAGTGGCAGAGAAGGAAATCAGCTGATCGGCTGCAAGATGGAACTTTCCGTCCACTTGTGGGCTTCACACATGGTGCAAAATCATTTAAAATAATTTATTTTAAATGAACAATCCATGGCACATCCATCAATCAGCCAGTTGTGTCATGTCTAATCTTACTTTGAAAATCCACGATATAGCAAACCCGCCATAAACAAACCGCAAAGTAGCGAGGGACTACTGTATTTACGTAAATCATAAACTGAGAATTTTGGGGGCTTTCCAGAAATAAGCATTACATTACTGGTGATTTAGGATTAAGGCTCCAGTATACTCGCGGACCTTTTTCCGCGCGGGCTCGACGCATACTGTCCGCAGACAGTTGAAACTTTGTACTCGAGCGTTCACCTTGAGCGGTTGCAGACCAGCTCCGCAGACAAGTGGCGTTTACCTTTGGGACAAATTGAAGTTGCCGACTGGTCATTTGCTGACGCCTACTGGATTGATCGAAAGGTCGCTCCCCACTGAGTCAAGCTAGTTTATTTCTATGTCTTGGGATGGCTGGTGATGCTTAAAAGAGTGGGAGGTAGGAGTGGTACAAAAAGAAAAACAAAAAATAAGATAAATTATATGGAGGTAGTTGAGTGAGGACAAAGGATGCAAACTGAGATGGAGGAGGATGACTGTGGTGACCCATGATGAGGGAGCAGTCAAAAGAAAAAGACTACAACTTCATCATTTCTCAATGATCTTAGCCTAAAACTCTGGCATAAAATGTGGCATATGATATGCATTCCTTAAAGGAATGCTAAATAATTTAATTAGTATCTAAAATGATGAGCTTTTGATTTGTTTGGTAGAGCTGGTCACAAAGACATGACGTTTGACACTTTCAATGATTTTGCCAGTTTGCAGCCTTAGCTTCAGACACTGACAAAAGTGCAACCAACGCCACTGAAAGGAGAAGACGTTTTATGCATAAAGCATAAAAAAAGAGATCAATTTAAACACATACAGCCCAATTCAGTACAATTATAGAAAACAATTTGTTGGCTATGGTAGCTCGTTATTAGCTAACTACAGGTTTGACTCCAGGTCATGGCAGGAAAGGCATCTAGTATAAAAGAAAATCTTTTATACAAGTTTGTCTGCTGTGGCCATCCCTGGAGGTGGCAGCAGGCTTCTTCTTTGTAAAACCAGTTTTATGTTTTTGTACAGAACTTCATAGTTTATGTAGATGTTTTGTATGGTAATAGATATTGTTGTCTCTTTTTTTGTTATCCCAGCAACAGTAACTCAAAAGTTTAAAGTTCACAATCTTTTCTTGCAACGTGTAAGCCAACCACAACCAAGTTTGGAAATTTTATTTAATATATTTTTACAAAAAACATGAGGTTTTAGACAAAATACTTTTAAACACTATCTAAGCTTTTTAAAATATGTTGGAAATGCCATCTCCTGGCGTTAGGCAGTTGTTGTTTTTTAATAAGTATCAAAAACTCTAAATGTTACTGCTAGCGTGTTTTTAAAAAGGAAACGGCAGCAGAAAGAGGTGGGGAAGCCCAGTAACATGCAGTATGACATTCTAACAGGTGTCAGCAGCTATTTTTGAGGTTATTTTTTTTTTATCTTTGCAAAGGTCATCTCACTGAAGTGAATGCCACGGAGACAAAACGGAAGCACAGGCTGTTTTTTAAAAAGTTTCTTTAGAAAGTGTTTTTCTAATAATTATGCAAACTGTTTAAAATTTAGTTGTCTGTGTTTTTTGTGCACCTCTTTTACATTATAATATTTTTATTTATTATAATACAACTTTTGTTAACATTAGGAACACATAAAGAGCAAACATAAATGGGATGTGTGTAGTAATTTTCTAGTTTTCAATTGCTTCTTTTATTAATGTAAGGTTTTTTTTTTAAATACATTTTTCAAAGCTTCTTTTCATAATTTCAATATGTAAAGTTTTAATTCAGGAATCAAACTTGTCTACCCAAACAAAATGTTTTTCTGCACATAAGGTGAAAATACTAACTCACACCTTTTTGCAACATTAAAAAGCATGCATATTACTAAAGCAGTGCACAAACGCATGAAGATTTATCTAATTATAAAATGATCACTAATGATTAGAATAAAAGTTTTAAATGCATTTTTTTGTTTTGCAAAGTGTTTCATCTGAGAGCCTGGTTTAAGTTATGAAGAAAAAAAAAAGGTATAAAAGATTTGTTATTTTGTTTTATAAACCTAATCAAGACTTGAATTCTTCTTCGGGGAAAAAAAAATTACAGTCCATTTTCTTTCTGGTCTATAATCATACATTTTCTCAAAATATTATTACATACATTTACTTCCTACTATCACCTCTGGTTCTATGTCAGATGAGGCAAAATGTCATTAGAACCTCATTTATGTTTGGACTGTATTTGTCCTGTTAAGCTCTCTGAATTGTCAAAAATAATATCCAAACCATCAACATGTCTGCTAGATCCCATCCCAACCAGACTGTTTAAAGATGTACTTCCCCTAATTAATATTCCCATTTTGGATCTGCTTAATGGTTATGTACCACAACACTTTAAAGTTGCTGTAATTAAACCTTTACTTAAGAAACCCCATGTTGCTTCAGGAACACTGGTCAATTAAAGACCTAACATTCATCTAACAAAATTCTAAAGAAAATAGTTGCAGGTTCAGTTGAGTGATTATGTTCAAAGAAATAATCTGAGGAGTTTCAGTCAGGGTTTAGAGCTCATCATAGCACAGAAACAGCACTGGTGTTAAGTTACTAATGATATTATCATGGCTTCTGACAATGGACTTGTGTCTATACTGGTCCTGTTAGACCCCAGTGCAGCATTTGATACAGTTGATCATAATATTTTACTACAGAGGCTTGAATATGAAATTGGAATTAAAGGAATGGCTCTAAATTGGTTTAAATCATATGATAGATTCCAATTTGTAAATGTAAATAATGAATCTTCATCATACATTAAAGTTAATTAGAAATTCTTTTAAGATCCATAAGGAAATTTTATGTAATTTTTATCAGTCATTTATTGAAAGTATTTTACATTTTTCCTTATTTTTTTGGTTTGGTGATCTGTCTGTAAAGGGTAAGTGCAGCCTTCAGTCATTGTTAAAGTCTGCTCCAAAATAAATGGGGTCCAGCAGAGGGACCTGCAGTCCATGTGGGAGAAGCAGGTTCTTTGCAGAAGTGTGGGAATAGGATCTCAATGGAACACATATCGTCTTCCAAATGTATATTGATGATGATCATTGTTTCTTAAAGCTGCTTGATAAGGATCCTCAAGTTTTCTCATTAGTTAACCACAAAAACATTTAGAAAACATTTTATTTTCACATGTAAAAAAATACAGGTACATTAAAAATAAACTATTTCAAACTTTATCAGCATTTTAAATACACTGATGTCTGGCTATTAAACACAATGTACAGATTCACAACCATTACAGGAAAGGTTATTCTCTGATTAGATTTGAACAAATGTTCTTTGTGTTTAACCAGAAACATCTTCACTGGGTGAGAGTATTTATGCATGCATTTCATTTCTTTACCTGCTTTTGTGTGCAGAGTCACGGGGGACCTGGTACCCATCTCCAGCAGTCACTGTGAGAGGAGGGGGACACCTGGACAGGTCACAAGTCCATCACAGGGACACAGAGACAAACATCCACTCACACCAAGGGGCAATGTTACCAGTTAATCTAACACGCACGGTCTATGAGTGAAAAACAAATTACCCAGAAAAACCCACACAGGCACAGAAACTGTGTAAACTCTGCAGAGAATGGTCCCTGGCCTGAAGGCTATCCTGAGATCTTGAGAGGCGACAGCTCTAACCACTGCTCAGCCATACCTCCCCAAGTCTGGTTCATGTTTTCATTTGTACCTCTCAGATGTTCTTCCATGGAGCTGGATTTACTTCAGCTGTGAAACACTTTGTTTTATCCTTTCTTCCTCATCCTCATCACAAAAGCTCATAATCAGTGCTGGTTTGAGTAAGAGTCAACATCAGGCTGAAAAAAAAAAAAAAAAACAGACAACAGAAAAACAAAAAAAAACTTCAACTAAAGTAAAAAGACCTATTGTAACATGTCACAATAGTATCCTATCTGATCCTGGACCAATCGGCCTAATTTGAACAGAATACGAACTTAATTCCAAACATGAGAACTGACTGAACTCAGAATGACAGTTTGTAGCAGAGTTAAACAGAGACTGTTGTTATCATTTTTAGGATACTTTAAATACAAAATCACAAGGGGTCGACAGAAAAACACAAATCAGACTGAGCAGAACCAGAAGTGTGAAGTTTCTGAACAGTTCATGTTATTACATCTCAACTCTCCAGTTTTGTTTAAAAATGTATTGTTTTGTAAACTTTTCACAATTTGACATAAAAGCATCAGATTTATTCATTTATTCTTCTCAGTGACATCAACAATGCTAATAATGATAATTAAAAAAATGCAAAGTACGTAAAGTTTAAATGTAAAAGATTGGGGTAGCAGTTACTAACAACATGAAACTATACAAATGTCCAGATGTCATCAACGTTCCAGCTGTTTTGGGTCAGAAGAGATATTTTCGACAGGATTCTGATCCGCACCGACACTCCACTCGAAGCCTCTTTTTAGGAGACGGAGAAAGTTCAGCTAGACTGAAACTGGAGTCCATTTTGGTGCTTTCTGTGTCCACTGGATCAACTGGAAACAAACACACTGCTGGTTAAAAAATACCAACATGTCACGTTCATCTTTAATAAGTAGGTAATATTCTTACAAACACGTTTTTACACACTCAGTTTTCTATTTTATCCAGATTTGTAAAACAACAAGTTTACAACCCCAATACTTTTGCATTACCGCTAGATGGTTATTTCTGTAGAAGTTTACAAATACAAAGGAGTGACGGAGGAGTGAAGGAGGCCGCGGGGAAGACCTGGAACTCGCTGGGGAGAGGGAGGTCTTGGTTCCTCTCATGGACCTGCTGCCTCTGTGACCCGACTACAGAGAAGCAGTAGAAGACGGAGATGGAGGAGTAACAATGCAGGACTGACATAGATGTTCGGGAGTTACTGAATAAAAATATTATTCAGAGGTAATCACTCCCAATCTGACCTACATTTTGCTAACAGCCAGAGCCCTGGCACCTATAATGAGGACCAAAATGGCACCAGTCACAACTAGTTGTCTGCCATTAATACTTTATTCTTAATTTTCAGTTTGATGCCCAGATATTTCTCCTGTGTTTGTACATGATCATGAAACAAGCTACAGTAGTCCCTCGCTACTTCGTGGGTCGTTTATTGCGGACTTGCTCTATTGCGGTTTTTAAAAATGAGATTGGACATGACACGCAATTAGCTGATTTATGGATGAGCCGCACGATCTGCATGGAATTTTTTATTTAAAATAAATTATTTTAAATTATTTAGCACCTGCTGCACCTCTGCGCAGCCCACACTGCAGGAGAAACTTCCTCCTGCAGATGATCAGCTGTTCACCATGCAGAGTAGAGAAGTGGGCGTGGCTGAGAGCGCTTGCAGATGGCAAAGAGCAAAGGAGACACAGAGCTGAAAACATGACATTCTGTGCTCTTTTAGAGCATTTAGAGTTTAGAAACATTGTTTAGAATGTTGCAAGAGTGTGGGGTTTAAAACACCTTTATATTCAATTCAATTCAAAAATACTTTATTAATCCCAAATGGAAATTATTTGTTGTTGTAACTCGTTATCATTTCATTAAGAGATGTTATAGATACTGATGGCTGTAGACAGGAAGGATCTCCTGTAAAGGTCCATCCCACAGTGGATCCTAAGAAATTGGCTGCAGATGTCGTCCAATCCATCCACCCAGACTCGGCTGGCCTCTCGGTTCTCCTGGACTGAAGGAACGTCCGAATGCCGGGCAGAACTCCTCTCAAGAGCGATGGTCACTCCTCCTAGCAGTCTGCCGAGCTCCTCGTCGCTGCAGACAGCCAACTGTAGGCGCCATGGGACTATCCTGTACTTCTGCTGTCATGAGCAGTGTTTCCTGTTATTTCCAGGATCTCAGTGGTCAGGCACTCGAGCACAGCTGGCAGGTAGATGAGAATGCATCCACAGAACATCCTTTTCAACTCATTTGAGATTTGAGGCTGTAGTTGAGATATTATTTGAGCTTTTGAGATGTTAATCAGCTGCTGTTCGTTGTAGAAAACTGCCTTGTTGCCATGGTTACACATCATAACAAATGTCCAAAACTAAAAAAGTTTCAGTAAAAATCCTTCCAGCTGCACAACATCTGATACCAGAGGAAACAATCATCCAAAAACTGTGATTTACATCCAGAAAAAGAGGAATTAAAGTTTCCAAAAGCAAAATCTCAGAATGAAAGTAACAGAGCTGCTCCAACATGCAGCCACCTGGAGCAGCGCAATTCTAGAACACACACACACGCACATATATACATATATGTTATATATATATATAATGTAATAAGTCTCTCGTCTATGTTATCCATGAACACGTTGAATACCTGCAGGTTGGGGTTACACTGCAACATATATATATATAAAAATATATATATATATATAAAAAAAAAAAAAAAAAATATATATATATAAAACATACATATATATAAAATACATACATAAAACATACATACATATATATACATACATACATACACATATACATACATACATACATACACATATACATACATACATACATACATACATATATATCTCAAAATAAACTATTATTTACTACTTGTACTTGTATCCATACTTTGCAGTTTTTCACTTATTGCGGGGCTTCAGGGCACGGATCCCCCGTGATAAACGAGGGACTACTGTGTAGCCTACAAACAGATGACATACATACAGTAGTCCCTCGCTATTTCGCAGTATATATATATATATATATATATATATATATATAAATAAAACATATACAGTATCACCTTCCCCCATCTAACTCCTAAGTCATGCATTTCTGCACGTCGCAGCCGGACCATTAACCACTTCACTGCCGCACGTTTCACAGATGTTTATAACTCTGAAATGATCATTCAGCCCCCAGTGTTTCTCACCACCACTGAGGAGCAGACATCCCAGTTCAACTCTGTCTGCTTAAAGACTCTGGATCATGTTGCACCTGTTAAAACCAAAAAATCAAAACTCAGAGCAGAACCTTGGCTGAGTGACGTCACCAAGGCCGCTAGGAAGCAATGTAGGAGGGCGGAACGAAAGTGGAGGAAAGACAGGCTGCAGGTCTCTTTTCAAATACTTAGAGAGTTGGCGCCGTTATCAGAAAACAGTAAAAGCTGCTAAATCAAAATTCTTCTCTGATATAATTACCTCAAACTCTCACAACCCGCGTGTCCTCTTCTCCACCCTAAACTCTGTTCTCCACCTAACTGAACCATCACCTCTGGAAGCCTCGACTGAGATGTGCGACAACTTCTTACATTTCTTTTTGTAAAAAATTGCGACCACCAGGGCTCTCATTTCCCCTCCAACTCATGACCCATCTATCCCACCTCAATCTGTAGCTCCTTTTGACCATTTTGACCACCGGTGATTCTGTGCTGCTTGTCCTGTTGGACCTCACAGCCGCCTTTGACACCATCGAACATGAGATCCTCATTGCTAGGTTGGAGCAGTGGGTGGGCGTCACAGGATCAGCCCTCAGTTGGTTCAGATCTTACCTCACTGACAGATCCTTCTGTGTCTCCATCAAAGATTTTAGTTCCGCAGAGGCAGAGCTTAAATGGGGGGGTTCCACAGGGGTTCATCCTGGGTCCCCTCCTATTCTCTTTATACCTGCTGCCGCTTGGTGCTATTTACCGGAAACACAACATGCCCTTCCACTTCTATGCCAATGACTGTCAAATTTACTTCCCCCTAAGACAGAATGGTACATGCTCTATTCAACTGCTGCTTGACTGCCTGGCTGACATCAAGGACTGGATGGCTTTAAACTTCTTAAGTTTCAATGAAAAGAAGTCTGAAGTCATGTTGTTCCCTCCCAACGACACGATCACAAACCACTGCATCGACCTCTCGGCTCTAACCCTGTCAGAAAAACAAAGAGTCACTAATCTGGGCGTGATAATGGACCCTTCCCTGAAACTTAACAATAATGTAAACATGTTCGTTAAATCATGCTTCTTCCAACTGGGGCGGCTGTCTAAACTGAAGCCCACATGGTCCAAAAATACCCTGGAGACAATAATACATGCATTCATTACATCTAGGCTTGATTACTGCAATTCGCTCCTGTTTGGTATCAGTCAGACCTCCATTGCACGACTGCAACTGGTCCAGAATGCAGCAGCCCGATTTTTAACCAGTACAGGCAAAAGAGAGCACATCACAACAGTTTTGGCCTCACTGCACTGGTTACCGGTTCACTTTCGAATCCAGTTCAAAATTATCATGTATGTCTACAAATCATTGAACAGTGTCGCGCCCGCCCCCCAATCTCTCTGATTTGCTACAACCGTATGTCCCACCACGCTCCCTGAGGGCAATGGACCAGTTGCTCCTCACAGTTCCAGGAACTCGTCTTAAGCGCAGAGGTGATGGAATTCTCTGTAGAAGGACCAAGGCTCTGGAATGAGTTACCTCTGCTTGTCAGACAGGCCCCCTCCCTCTCGGTTTTCAAGTCCCGTTTAAAAACTCACTACTATTCAATAGCTTTCAACACAAGATGATCTGTGTTTTGATCCTGTATGCTCCACACTGGTTAGTCGTCATTATCTGCATCGTTTTTATGTCTATATTCTGATTTACCTCATTTTGTATTTTGCTTTGTGTGTTACCTGTTGTTTTGTCTGTACAACACTTTGGTTGGCCCTGTAGCTGTTTTAAGTGCTTTAAAAATAAAGTGGTATGGTATATTGGCAGCACGGTGGCGCAACTGGTAGAGCTGCTGCCTCTCAGCGAGCAGGTCCTTGGTTCAAACCCCGGTCCAGGGGCCTTTCTGGGTGGAGTTTGCATGTTCTCTCCGTGCATGCGTGGGTTTTCTCCAGGTGCTCCGGTTTCCTCCCACAGACCAAAAACATGCATGTTAGGCTGATTGGTAACTCTAAATTGTCCCTACGTGTGAGTGAGAGAGTGAATGGTTGTTTGTCTCGTTTGTCTCTATGTGGCCCTGTGATGGACTTGCGAACCGTCCAGGGCGTACCCCGCCCCTCGCACAGTGATTGCTGGACATGGGCACCAGCGACCCCCATGACCCAAAATGGAATAAGCGGATAAAGATAATGGATGGATGGATGTTATGGTATATATAAATGTATACAAACCTGATTCCAAAAAAGTTGGGACGCTAAACAAATTGTGAATAAAAACTGAATACAATGATGTGGAGATGACAATATTTAATATTTTATTCAGAATAGAACACAAATCACAGATCAAAAGTTTAAACTGAGAGAATGTATCATTTTAAGGGAAAAATCTGTTGTTTCCAAATTTCATGGCGTCAACAAATCCCAAAAAAGTTGGGACAAGTTCATTTTTACTACTGTGTGACATCCCCCCTTCTTCTTACAACACTCAACAGACGTCTGGGGACAGAGGAGACCAGTTTCTCAGGTTTAGAAATAGGAATGCTCTCCCATTCATGTCTAATACAGGTCTCTAACTGTTCAATCATCTTGGGCCTTCTTTGTCGCACCTTCCTCTTTATGATGCACCAAATGTTCTCTATAGGTGAAAGATCTGGACTGCAGGCTGGCCACTTCAGTACCCGGATCCTTCTCCTACATAGCCATGATGTTGTGATTGCTGCAGAATGAGGTCTGGCATTATCGTGTTGCAAAATGCAGGGTCTTCCCTGAAAGGGATGACGTTTAGATGGGAGCATATGTTGTTCTAGAACCTGAACATAGTTCTCTGCATTAATGGTGCCTTTCCAGACATGCAAGCTGCCCATGCCACAAGCGCTCATGCAACCCCATACCATCAGTGATGCAGGC